TTTTATTACCAGTGTCGAGGAATTACTAATGCTCATTCGGTCCGTAGATCCGACGCCGTACGGGCAATTAATCCTCTGGGCTATACGGCATAGAGTAAAAGGCAAGGCACACGATGCATTGACCCTTTGGGGTACACCACTCATCTGGGATGAAATCAAAGCACACCGTAAACGACTAAACACTAGCACGAACAATTAGATGCAACAATAGAACCAAAATTCTATTTGTTCGACTTCCACCCACATTTTGATGACCTCTTGGGCATGGATTTCTGAAGCAGCTTAGATGCAAAACTAAACATAGCAGACTCTGTCCTAGAAATGAAGAAGACTTCTTTACCAATCCTTTTAAGCACAAACCAGATAGACACAATAGACACTGTACCACATAAGACGAAGATCAGATTGTCACTCCCTGTAAACATAATGGAGGGGGATTCCTTTTCGAAACTACAACTCTAAACAATGACATATCAATCACGGGGGACTATATACTGCACTGGCTGGCTTCGCACACATTTTGAGGTCAGCAACACATCAGACTACGACCAAACACTGTTTCTAGAGGAACCATTACAAGCTGAAACGGCTCCTATACGAGATTACGAGTACTTGAACTGCATGCTCGCGGGGAAAGCCCCACAACCCACAGACATACATGTTAACACTGTTGAGGAGTAATTATAAGTCGATCAAGTTCTTGGGTGATTATCGGATCACCCTAGTGTTTAGTTGCAAGATTAGCATAAACGCCTTTAGGGGCCGAGCCTGGTTCCTATTGGTACCCGGTATGGTGAGTTATGCGGATTTTGCTAGTGTCAGCACTCTGCTGCACGAGCGGTCGGTTTGCCGGCCGCGCATAGCTTACGTAAAGTCTTTTATGTTTCAGTTTTAGTTTTGATTTTGAATAAAGAACATTTGAATGTAAAACTCCGGCATTGGCCGTTAACATTTAGACGCAGTATTATCTCTATGATCAAACACCAACGACAGGGCTATTTCATTTGCCAGTCGAACACTCTCTGACACCGAAGTTATTATTATTATTATTATTAGGAGGGGAAAAGGTTACCTCGACCCAACTGGATCTATTGTACCCCCTATCTGAGCTTAAAGCTCACCAATCAACCCGGTTCCTCCTATAAAGTTAAGGAGCTTTGTTGGGTCGATGCTTCCAGAGGTCTCAAGTGTAAGGAACCTGGGCCCGAGGGTTCTACTCCTCAGGCTACTTAGTGGTACAACTTGACTTTGGACCGAAGTTAGATATTCAACAATAGAATCGATCGTTTGGTCTGTAGGGCACTTTAGACCATACCTTTTTGGTCGCCGATTCAAAATAGTGACAAAATAGTCTGGATGGAAAATCTTAAAGGTCAAAACCCAAAATTACTTCGGTGGAAAACCACCCTACGAAATAGTCTATAAAAAAGGATCTCAGAATGCCGTCGCTGATGCATTCAGCAGTATAGAACCCAATCTAAATATAAATGAAGATCCAACAAGAATAACAGTTGTTCAAAAACCACTTAAATATTTTTTACATCCAAGCAATCTTTCAAATCAGTCTATCAATCCCAGTACAATTAATAACTCCATTTCCCCATAAGATAAGACTATCTTCTCGGAACCAGAGTACACGTTTAACTCAATCACTAAAATACTTCAGAATATTCTAAAGCCAAACAAAACGCATGCTATATTAGCACCAGGCAACGTATTTTATATAATTGAAGAAGCATACAACAACTATTTTATAGGAAATAACCTGTATAACATTTGTCGACCTCCCTGATCTACAAAAACAAAAGCAAAGGGTCCAGTCATACGATCTTAATAGCAATCACAGAGGTATCGACGAGACCCTTAACCCTTAAATATTACACAAATAATTAAAGACTGTTACATTTGCCTAACACTTAAGTATGATAGACAACCTCACAGACCTTTCATCCAAGCCCCACCGGCACCAACAGGGCCCTTAGATGTTATTCATATTGACATTTATGTAATCAACAATACCAATAACTTGACCATCATTGATAAATTCTCTAAGTTCGCACAAGCGTATCCATTAAATATGAGAAATTCAATTAAAGCTATAGCAGCACAAAATTCTTCAGTACCTTCGGCCTACCGAACAAAGTGGTCTTTGACCAGGGTGCAGAATTTTCGGGGAATTTGTTCACCGAATTTCTGACCAAGTACGATATAGACATTCACATTACCTCATTCCAACAATAAACGGGAAACGCACCCGTTGAAAGACTGCACTCGACATTCACGGAGCTCTATAGAATAATTGATAAACGCAGAAAGGAACTCCAACTCCAATCTGATCACGCCGAGATATTCGCAGAAGTATTGACAACATATAACAATGCAATACACTCTAGCACAGCTCATACCCCGTTGGAACTTTTTCATGGCAGAACCCACATGTTTGAAAAAGCAGTAAAATTCGAGAGCCACCATGATTATTTGGCAAAACTGAACGAATTTAGGAATGAAGTATTCAGGAACAACTAGTTAACAAAACAGAAAAAAGATTAACCAAAACTAAACGAAGATAGGGAACCACCAATCCAAGTCGAACCCGACGACACCTAGATTTTTCTTACACAAAGTCAGGGCCGATAAAGGGGTTACATTACTAACAACCAGACAACAAAAACTACACAAGCAAAAAATAAGAAAGATAATAAGGACGAATTATATCACTCAATGAACCTACTTCATTCCAGAACTACACATTCCGCCACGCAGTCCTTCTCTTTAGAAAGACTCAATGGATCCCCACCCCTCGCCTTCATTCATCTGGGAGATAATCATATAACACAGAGCTATACAATTCTAACCCATATCGTAGAAGTCCAAGAGTTTAAAATATGCCTTTCCAGAATAAAAGACACATTAAAAGCCTTTTGATTATATGAAACATTCGACATGTCGCATAGAAGCCAGAATAGACACCTTACTCCCACACGCGAGAACAAAAAGGAGTTTAATTAATTGACTACGAACCATTCTCAAGTCAATTTCGAGTAATTTAGACGACAACGACGAACAAAAAATCCTTGCAGAAATCAAGACCCTAAAAGTTACCTCCCACGCACAAAAAATTGCTAAAGAAAAACAGGAAAATTTCGATAAACAAGTTATTATTACCTTACAATTAGATGAACACATCTATAATATCCTTACACGATCTTTTTATACTTTCAATTACTAACTATTGTTTAACGTTAAGATACTAAAAATAATTTATAAGTTTACCCACATCATACCCCTACCAGTAAATAACTTACATTTCATCATTTCCCCCGAATTCTTGGCACACGATAACAACACTTTACATCAATTTCGCGAAAGCTGGTGGAGCAGGAGTTCTTCTGTCAAAGGATGCACACGGACTTGACAACTAAAAACAACCAATGCCTGTCAGACATCGTCAATAACGTAAAGGAAACAAAATGTGACATGATGGATACAGGATACGAAATGAACATATTCGAGGCGGAAAAAGGGTTTATTTTCATTTTCAACGGAAAGAACGCCCCCCAAAATCAATCATACAAACGAAGCCTCTCTACGTCGCTTAGCCATGTGGTTTTGCGGTTTCTCGACATTAGTATTTAGTTATTAAAATTAAAATAATGTAAAGTGGGAACACAATAAATATAATTTATTGTTGCGTATGTGCAAATTATGTAGCTCATGATAATGAGTCCCTTATGGAATTTATAAACAATTCTTGCCTTCGTCTCTGTTCTTAATAATGGTCCGCACTCTCTTGAGCCACACTTTGTGGTCACATAAACATAAACACAGCTTCCACCAGAAGCCCATTCTCAAGTAAACATAAACTTCCATCAGACATCCAAATCAGTTTTTGCCAAACTGCAATGGTCAGCTTAAATCAATTTCATCAGAGGAAACTGCATCGGTCAGCCTAAGCCAATTTCGTGGGAAAATTCAATTCTTTCATCTTCAGTTTTTATCAATAACAAAAATTGAAGTTCAATTGAAAAGCTTCAGGCCGAGGCTTCTTGGAGGATAAGTCATAAATAATCCGGCAGTCTCGTTTTGAATTGACTCCGCGATCGGTCAAAGAAATTTATAAGTCTAGTATTAAAGTGTCTTATATTCAAGCATAAATAATAAAGGTTTATCACCAATAAAAAATAATAAAATTTATATTTTTTTTCATTTATCAACGATTCAGAAATTTAATTTGCATATGTGCATGTGTATGGGACAGTAGAGCTGGCAAACCATCGATGGTACCATCGATAATATCGATGGTAAGGAGCCAGCTTGCACTATCGATAATTTGAAAACTATCACGATGGTGTCGCCGTCGTATTCCACCACTACTTTTCTTGTGCTTTCGCAGCTAAGCGGTAAGAAACAATTTTATAATTGTAATATTAAATTTATAATAAGCCTTTCTTTTCTTTAGACAGTAGACAGTGACTGGTGGTTCTACAGTGGTGTTCCAGACGGGGTTTAAGCAGTAAGTAGGATGTTAAAAGTATATAAAAGCTTTTACTTATTTTTTTTTCAATTTCTTTGCACGTGCTTTAGACATGGAGAAGGAAAATCAGCCCAGCAACAGAAAGCGCACATTGAAAAGGAGCATGGTATGGGACCATTTTAAAAAGAGCAATGACGGCAAGCAAGCTGAATGTCGCCATTGCAATAGGACATATAAAACCAGTGGCAACACATCAAATCTGAGTGATCACCTCACGCGTGCGCATCCATCTTATCAGTCGTTGGGGAGTGGGCCCACAAGCTCAATTTCCAAGTTCTTAAAAGTTGACAATCAATACGACAGTAAGTCCGCTCGTAAGCAAAAATTAGACAAGGCACTGATGAAAATGATAGCCACGGACGTCCAACCACTCTCAATTGTAGAGGAGTGGGGGTTTCGCCATTTTATTAATCTGCTAGATCCTCGATACACCATTCCAAGTCGGAATACATTAAAAAATGTCCACATGAAGAATATGTATGCCGATTTGACATCAAAGCTCCAACTCATACTGAGCAAAGTGGACCAATGTGCCATTACCATGGATGGTTGGACGTCGAGGGCCAACGATGGCTACCTCACAGTAACAGTACACTTCATTAATGAATCATTTGAGCTGAACGCTGCTGTTTTGTCAACAGAAAAATTGATAGACCCACTAAACCACAATGCTGAAAATATAGCAGCATCGGTTCGAAATGTGCTCTCCAAATGGAACTTAGAGTCAAAAGTAAACGCCATAGTGACAGACAATGCCAGCGCAATGATTAAGGCGTGCGAAATTTTACAAAAGCGTCACCTTCCATGCTTTGCTCACTGCCTCAACCTAGTGGTGCAAGATTGCTTGGAGGAAAATTCGATTAAGCATGTTTTGACCAAATGCAAAAAAATTGTAAAATTTTTTAAATGTAGCACTATAGCCTACGAAAAATTCAAGCAAGCTCAGGGTGACAATGCATACAGTCTGATCCAAGAAGTAAGCACCAGATGGAATAGTGCTTTTAAAATGGTGGAACGAATATTAGCCACAAAAGAGTTCATATCGCCCGTCCTCCTCAGCCTGTCAAGAGCACCTGATCCACTGACCGCAGACGACATTGAACTGTTGGAAGACATTCAAACCATTCTGGCACCATTCGACTACGTCACAACACAGTGCTCGTCCAGCTCAAAGGTGACTAGCTCCTTAATTGTTCCTCTGACGAATGGCCTGGTTGAGGGCCTAAATGATCAGTTGGCAGGCTAAAGACGGTGGATGGACAGCAAGCTTGCCTGTTCTTGCAGGATAAAGCACGGATAAGGCTTTTTCCTTTTGAAGAAAGGTCCACAGCTAGACTGGCCACAATAATGGATCCACGATTTAAAAAAGAAGGCATTCGATCACCGTTTAATGCTGAACAAGCCGCCGTTTTGCTAACGCGCTCCTTATCGACAAACATGATTGCTGGTGCTGATGATGAGGAAGGGGATCCTCAGGAAACCGCTGTAGAACCACCAGTTACACCAAACGCTGCAGAGCCTCTTCTGAAGTTTCTGTCCTCAAACATAGAGAAAAAAAAAGGACCAAGAAAGTGGACGCAATATTAGTTACGAGGCATTATTTCGAAGGAATAAACTCTGATATTTCCAGCAATCCACTGGAGTATTGGAGAGTAAGTAGCGATTTTTCTGCTTAATTTTTCTACTTTTCAAAAATTATGTTATGTTTTATAGAGCAATGAAAGTGACCAGCCAGCTTTGGCGAAGTTGGCCAAAAAAGCGTTGTGTGTCCCAGCAACTTCAACGGAGTCTGAGAGGATGTTTTCGAAGGCAGGGCAAATAATTTCCGAGCGCAGGTCATCATTAAAGTCAAAAATAGTTGACCAGCTTCTTTTCATCAACAAAAATTGGTGGATTACCGAATCAAATATGTAACAAAGATCTCAAGTCTAGCGGCTGGACCGCTACTTAAGAAGCAACGTTTTTTTTGTTTTTGGAGTTTTTATTTTTATTTTACTTTTAAAATATTAAGTTTGACAAATTAAATGAATTAAATGAAAAAATAAATATAACACAAAAAACTAAAATTCTAAATTTATTAAAATCGAATTTATAAGGAATACCCCGGCTGTTTTGGGTTTTTCATAAAGAATAAACTCTATATTTCAAAATTGGTTTAATTCGATATTATCGCGATAGTATCGATGTTTCCCGAAAAAAACCTCGAAAACATCGATAGTGTCACTATCGATGTTTTGTCCCAGGGACAGCTAAGCACATTGCACTCATTAAAGCTTACCTTTTAGAAATCGATCCATCGTTATTCTTTAATAGCTCTCAACACCACCAATAAATCAATTAAATTTCCGCTGAACATAGGCTAAATTTGAATGATTATTTATTAGAATATTTAATGTAAAATATAATTCTACACAGCTCTTCCCGCTCTTTGTTATTGTGAAAAAAAAAATGATAAGAAAAGTTTCAATTAAACCATCGACGTTAAACAAAAATATCGATGTTAATATCAATGCTAGAAATTATGCATCGATGTTGGGTATTCTTTTTTAAACATCGATACATCGATGGATCGTCAAGGCTCTAAAAGGCAGTTCATGCAGAGCGGTTTGTAATATGTGTTTGTAAGCGTCAATTGTAGAAATTGATTGTGGCGTCCCTATAATCTAAAAGAATTTGCTACAAAATTTCAAATTTGTGGCTCAAATCAAAAAGAAATTTAGCACAGTTTGAGAGACAGCATTGCACTTGGCTTAGCTCTCAAACTCTTTTTTTCTATAAAAAAAAAAAAAGTAAAGTACCAGTTGGACGGCCTGCGTTACCATATTTAACTAAAAAGTATAGAACGCAGAGGAATGAAGCTTTAGCTCTTCTATTAGACCAGGGCTTAACTAAAAGCAACATTGCTCTATCAGGGAGCAAACAAAAAATAATGTGTATCCAACGTACAAAAAGATTGCTGAGCAGAAAAAAATTGTCGGCCCACTAACTTGCAAATTTCCTAGACAAAGGCAGAGGAACCCCTTCAAAACCTTCTCGACCAAACAGCTGCTCGAATTGCATGTTTGCAAGAAGAGGTTATTTTGAGCGTTATAAATAATCAAGGCACCGATTTTTTGGCAGCAGAATTAATTTTAAGTTACGGGTTTGATGGCAGCTCAGGTCAGTTAAACTACAATCAGGGATACTCATCGGAGCAACCTTTTAATAGTGACTCGACAATTTTTGCTACCGCAGTAACGCCTTTAAGACTGATTGATGCCTCCAGTAACATCCTATGGAACAACAGGACACCACAGTCAATTCGCTTTTGTCGCCTTTAAAAATTAGAATTTATTAAAGGAACTAAAGAGGTCATTCTTAATGAAAACAAATATATAAATAAACATATAGATAATTTAAAATTGTGTAAAATAATTTTACAAAACGGAAAAACAATTTATATAAAGTTTCGCCTATATTTGACCGTTATCGATGAAAAAATCCTGAACGCATTGACGGGAACTAGTTCATCCCGAGCATGTCCGATTTGTGGGGCAAATCCTAAGGATTTCCTCAACAACAACAATTTTAAATGCGAGAAGTTTCTGCCACTAATGAATAACCTCAGTTATGGATTAAGTCCATTGTATTGCTGGATTCGTTTCTTCGAATTTATTTTGCACGCGGGATACAAATTGCAAATAAAGAAATGGAGAATTTCCAACGAAGATAAAAAAAAGAAGTTGCCAGAAGAAAAGGTGTAATACAAGATTTGTTCTGGAAGCTGTTATCAGTGAAAGTTGATCAACCCAAAGTAGGCGGCTTTGGCAGCACGAATGATGGAAATACCGCTCGTCGGGCCTTTAGTGAACCCAGGATATTTTCAGATATCACAGGAGTAGATCTGGGCCTCATTTCAAATCTCAGGACCATTTTAATATGTCTCTCAAGCCAGTTACCTATAGATATTACTAAATTTCAAAGTTTCTGCTTTAAAACTGCGGAGCTTATAGTTGACGAGTATCCCTGGTTACCTATGACTGCAGCTGGAATTTAAAATTTACGGACGTGTTCCAAAGAGCAATGGATACATCAGATCCAATAATTTCAACTATTAATTTAAGCCGACGAACACGTAAAAAGTTGAACCTCCCAAATGAAGTTATAAACCTGTTATGTTGCGAAACAAAAATTGACGGCGATGAGGAGGACTATGAACCGGATGAGCTTATGACTGGAATTTCATGGGATGTTCAACTGGTCAACGAAGACCATGAACAATAGGTGTGAAAAAAAATTATTAACTAAGCCCAAAGTTATATATGTAACTAGCTGACCCGGCAAACGTTGTTTTGCCACCAGATGACTTTATAATTTCTGTACAAAATTTACTCAGTTCTAGACTTATGTATTGTAAAGTCATCTGGAGCGCTGTGAACCATGAGGGAATATAAAAATAACAAAAAATAAAATATTATTTTTAAGTTATTATAATTGCGCCTGGCATAAAATGAATAAAGGCGTGATTGTCGTTGTTCTAATCTTCTGACTTCATTGCGTTCTGCTCGTGTTTCTTCAACGTTCTTCTTGATGCAATTGCGCTATTCTGACACGAACATCAGTATTTTAATGCTGGATTTGTTCTTCGGTTCTTTCGGATCTTCTATTTCGCATGTTTCGAGATCTACTTGTATCACGGCTCAAATCACCCCCTTTGCGTTTTCTTGGCATTGCTCACTGTACAAAACACTCATAAATAGAATTAATGATTTTACTTAATAATGAATGATTTTTGCCCCAGTTTAAATTGATTTAAAATGCTATGGTAGCGTGGTTTTGTCAGTGTGATGAGGTAGAAACTCACTTTATCAGGCAGGCTCCGGTTTTCACTTTTTTTTCTCGTTTTCGTTTTTGGGCGAAAACGTACGATTTCGTTTTAGGTGCTCCGGTTTTCACAAACTTTTTGTCATCGTTTCGTTATCGGAATGGTTCAAACAGCTGACTTTTTTTGGTCAAAAGTAAACAACGCGAAAAAATGACTTTTATATTTTCAATTGCCTGTTTTGAAGCCAAAAGAAGGCAGAAATTGATTTATTTAAGAAAATCGAGACATCTTAGATGCAACACAAAGTGCAAGCACGGAACTAAAACTGCTTCCTGTTTGAAAGGCATAACTACAGCCTTTCTCCTAAATTCCCTAACTGAAAATTTTTTAACGCTCATCGGCGTTCTGAAATTTACTAAATAAATTCCTAGGCTTGACGACCTTAAGGGCTCATCAAAAAAGTTTGCTTTATCATTGATTTCCCTACCTAATATAAATATTTCTCCTTCATTGTCCTCAAAGGACTCTATTTGTATTGGGATCTCATCCCCAACGAAACAAAAAATTGTCTGGTTTCCTATCGCTAAGCCTACAGTCTTTAATTTTAAGAAACCTGCCTTCTAACTTAATTTCCTCCCTTTCTGGAGCTACATACGTTTCCTCTACCGTTCTTCTATAAATTTGTTCTAGAATATATGTTGGCTTTCGGACCACTTTTTTTAATAACTGCAAATAATTCTCAAACGCGTAAGAGGAACCTTCAATCGGATTTCCGATTCGATTTACAGTCTCTCTTACATGGAGTAGGCCATGAACATTGTAGGAAACACTGTTTTCGCCGAAGACAATGGGAAAATTTTCAACAAATAAATTTAACAGTTGTTGAGCAACCTCAACATTATTTTCCCGCTGTTTTTGCGAGCAGAGCAGTCTATATGCGCAATGCAACAGCAAAAAAATATAGTACTGCTCTTCATGGATTGTACTTTAAAAACTACAATTCCAGTGTATAATAAAAATTGGCGAAATTCAGTACTTTTCCAATTTGGAAGTTCTAACAATGTTCTAGGCTTTCGTGAGAATTCCCTAGGTATGTAGCTCCGCATTGACGTTAATAGATCAGACATCTTCATTTTATTTGCTTTTGGAATTTTTTGTGTTACTTTATTATAATAAATTCTTTCCAAAAATTTTCGCATTACACCCAACTCAATGAGGTGCATGCAATCCAAGGGAACTTGGGTAACCATACCGATGCCAAGTTTTTCAAAAGCGGACTGAGACCCTAAGTAATCTTTCTGGTGATGATTTGGATATTTCCTACTCGCAAAGTCAACATCTGTAATTAACTCAGCACTAGAAGTGCTGTATGTTAACGTTGCATCTATTTTGCGTCCCACCTGAGTGCATTTGGTACTGCCATAACTGGATGTATGTCCAGG